AGAGAGAGACACAGTGAGAGAGGGAACACAAGCAGGGGGAGTGGGAGAGGGAGAAGCAGGCTTACCACAGAGCAGGGAGCCCGATGTGGGACTCGATCCCAGGACCCTGGGACCATGACCTAAGCCGAAGGCAGACACTCAACGACTGAGCCACCCAGGCGTCCCAAGCACCCAACTCTTGATATCAGCTCAGGTCATGGTCTCAGGGTCCTGAGATGGAGCCCTGAGTTGGACTCTGAGCTCAGCATGGAGTCTGCTTGTCCCTCTCGCTCTGTTTCTGTTTCTCCTCTTGTCCCCTCTCTCTCTCTTTCTCAAATAAATAAATAAATAAAATCTTTAAAAAATTGTTTTAGGGGCACCTGGCTGGCTCAGTCAGTAGAGCCTGTGTCTCTCTTTTTTTAAATTTTATTTTGCTTAAATTTATTTTATTTAAGCGTAAAATTTACTTAAATTGATTAACATATAGTATATTATTAGTTTCAGCGGTAGAGTTCAGTGGTTCATCAGTTGCATAGAACACCCAGTGCTCAGTACCTCACGTGACCTCCTTAATGCCCGTCACCCAGTTACCCCATCCCCCCCACCCCTCGGGCAACCCTCGAGTCTGTGACTCTTGACCTCGGGGTTGTGACTCAAGCCCCACGGCAGGCATAGAGATTACTTAAATTTGTTTTTTAGTTTTGTTTTTTTTTTAAAGATTTTATTTTTTTTATTTGAGAGAGAGAGAGAATGAGAGATAGAAAGCACGAGAGGGAAGAGGGTCAGAGGGAGAAGCAGACTCCCCGCTGAGCAGGGAGCCCGATGTGGGACTCGATCCTGGGACTCCAGGATCGTGACCTGAGCCGAAGGCGTCGCTTAACCAACTGAGCCACCCAGGCGCCCCTGTTTTTTAGTTTTTAAAACCAGCATCACAGGTAGGCAGTATGATGGTACAACTGGTAAACTGTGGAAATATTTCTCCTTCAGTTGATACATCGCAGCTGCCCTAAACCCTGTGAGTGTCCGCAGCACCCTGGCAGCCTCAGCCCACACCAGAGACCCTTTCGTTGTTATAAATAATTCTAGAAAGAAAACCCCCATAATTGTACCTCCTTTTGATAAATACCTAGAATTAAATTGAATAAAAAGAATGCATATTTTAAGGCTTTGGATTCAGATTTTCAAAATGCCCTGTAGAAAGTATACGTTGACTAAAACTCCCATCAGCGAAGTATGAAAGTGACCATTTTTCCGTATCTTCTCCAACAGTGTTTGTTATAGTTTTTTTTTTTTTTTTTGCTTGAAAACCTGAAAGGTAAATAATGGTACGTTGCTTCAATGTGCTTTTCTTTCATTCCTCAAAATGTTGGATATTCTTTCTTGGTTTATTGGCTATTTGCCTATTTGTGTGTTGGTAGGGCCTCTTTTTACTGTCTTATAACAGATCTTTGTATATGAAGGTGATGGAACTACAAAGTAAACATCTGGATTCCAGAACAGATTTGGGGACTGATTTTCCCTCTTCTACCCCCTCTAACGCTTTCCACGGAGTGAAGAGAGGAATAATTTTCACTCATTCTGGGAAGGCTTTTTATAAGACAAATCTTAAGAAGATGGAAAACAAAAGATACTGAGAATACAAGTGTTTTTATTTTAGAGGATCTTCCTCTCCAATCTACCGTTCCCCACTTCAAACTGTAGAAATGTTGCTGTGTTCTTTGTAGCCAGAAAAACTGAGTCACACCTCATATGATCTTTCTGGCTTGCTTTACTCTCTGGGCCAAGTGGGTCCCCACCCAGGAAACCTCCCCACTCACCAGCTGTGCTTATGTAGATAAGACCCCACTTGTCATCTCGCCAAGCCCTGATGCGCCAGATCTCCGCCACTGACCAGCTGTGTGTCCTTGCATGAGTCCCTTAACCTCTCTGTGTCTCAATTCCCTCCGAAATGGGGAAAGCATTACCTCTCAAGGGTTTTTGTGAAGATTAGATAAAGTAATCCATATAAGGCACGGGGCAGGAGGTGTCCTTGTTTAGCTTTCTCTTTCTTTCAGCTGAAAACTCACTCAACTTTTCAGAACAACAATAAACCAAGCCCCTTTACCTTAACCCACAAGGGTTAGGAGGCTTTGGTGACAAGCAAGAGAAATTAACTGGAGCTTAATAGAAAAGAAGGAAGTGGGGAGAATTTATTACAAAGACTCAGTGGTGTCTCAAAGATTCCAAGAGCTTGAAATGGGGATCCTTTTCCCTGTTTCTCCCGGAAGGTCTGCTGTGATTCCCTCTCCCTGTCTCCCTATCTCCCTCTAGACTGGCTTTCTCCACCACTGTAGCCACCACCAACTACTTCTCCCCGTTACTGTCTCTACCACATGTAGAGACTCACTAACTGACCCTAAATCCCCAAACCAGGATCTGGTTAGGGAGATTTTGATTGGCCCAGATTTGGCCACGTCCAATCAGATGCTGTCCCTTAAGAATTACACAGTGAGTAACAGCCAGAGAGAGGGCCAATGAGTTCACCAAAACCCCTCTTTATAGCAGAGCCAGCTGAGAAGCTTGAGTTTTCAGAGGGATTAGGGGAGACGTGACCAGAAATGGAATCCAGAGCTCCCAGAACCGACCCCAGAAGGTCAGACCTTAAAAGACCTTCATGCGTTACCTCGTTTAACCTCTGCCCGCATTTTATAGAGAAGGAATGAGGTCCAGAGGTATGTGTTTGTCTGAGGAAGTCTGGCCAAGGTGACAGAGCTGGAACCAGAGCTCCTGGCACCATGGCCCAATCACACGTGGCTGTTGTAGTTGAGGAACTGAACTTTAAATTTTACTTAAGTTTAATTAATCTAAATTGAAGTCACCACATGTAGGGAGTGACTACCATATTGGACAGGATAGTCCTACAGCCTGAAGACTTCTGGTCGCTCAGGAAAGGAGTAGACATCAAATCCCCAGTAGCTAAAGAATCAAAAGATAAAAACAGAATTCATGGCAAGAAGATATATGGAGAAAACTATTACTTTGTAAAAGTATTTAGTAATTATGGAAATGTGAAACAAAATTGCTTTCAGCTCTCTCCGTTTTGCCTATCAAACAGGTTAAAATAATTAACAGCTGTAAATCATACCATTTAATCTCCCAACAACCTTGTGAAATAATAATTTTGAGTGTTCTCAGAATGGCTGGGCCAATCGTGCCTCCACCCTTTAAGACCTGTGTGTTCTTGGACAAACAACTTTGCCCTCATTTCTTTATCTGTTATTAATATTACTACCTACCTCAGAGGGTGTTGTCTAGGGGCAAATGGAAAACTGCATGTAAACGGCTCAGCACAGTACCTGGCATGTGATAGGTGCTCAGTATATGTGAGCAGAGATTATTATCTCCATTTTGCATGAGGCTCAGAGAGGGCAACCAACTTGCTCCCAATTGCCCACCTGTTAAGTGTTGAGGCCAGGATTCACACCCAGGTGTCTCTGGCTCCAAAGCCGCCTTCTGGGCAGTCTCTTTTATTTTTTTAAGATTTTATTTATTTATTTGACAGAGAGAGACACAGCGAGAGAGGGAACACAAGCAGGGGGAGAGGGAGAAGCAGGCTTCCCGCTGAGCAGGGAGCCTGATGCGGGCCTCGATCCCAGGACCCTGGGATCATGACCCGAGCAGAAGGCAGACGCCTAACGACTGAGCCACCCAGGCGCCCCTGGGCTTCCGTGCCCTTCCGTGCATTGGACTGTACACACTTGTGGGGCTTCTGCAGACTGGCTGGTGTGGGGAGGAAGCTCCCCTCTGTCCTGCAAGAAGAGAGAGAGCAAGTCTGGCCCAGTGAGAATGAAGAGGAGGTGGAGGAAGGGGGAGCAAGCCATGAAGTGGCAGAGCTGACTCACCTGGTCTTTGGATCCCAAAACCAGTTTCCTTCCCAATGCTCCACAGATACACAGAAGCAGGAGCTGAACGTCCGGGGATGGGTGATAAGGGACTGGTCCAGCCCAACCAGCAGAGGGTGAGGCAGGAGAGGAAAAGAGTTGGCCAGGAAGGGGGGGGGGCGCTCTCCAACACCTCACACCTGAGGATGCTCTGATCTCTCCCCTAGCCAGAGGATGGTTCCCAATGCACGGAAGGGCACTCAGGAGCCAGGTCTGAGGGACAACCAGAGTCTAGAGACCCCACAGAGTCACCAGGGTTCTAAAGGCAGGGGTATAAGGAAGGGGTTAGTGGGGGCAGAGGGAGAGTGCTAAGGGAGTGCTTCTGTATCGGAAGGGGAAGGGCCAGAGTTGGTCAGTGCGATCAGCACAGTTCTGTGATAATAGCCCTTCAGCTGTCCCCAGCGGCCAACTAACTGCCCAGGTTCTAAGAACATGTTAACCTCTGGTTTGTGGTTAGAGCGCCCCCGTGTGTTTCCACTTTGTCATAAGTTCTTTAAAGGACCAACTATCAGTACCACCAAGATTTTTGAGGGAGGGGGCTTATATCCTTGAATCACCACAACACCAAGAAGTTGGTGGCCACCCCAGGCCCGGAGGGGCTCAAGGACCACTGAGTGAGAGCGGCATAGCCAGGACTCCGATCTGATTAGGTCAGCCTTCTCAGAAGCCTATTCTTTCCGCCACGTTTCCCTGCATCTAACTGGTCTCCAGGCACAGAGCCTGGTCCTCAGGAACTGATGTGCGGATGCTTCCAGAACCTCTGGAGGCTGCCAGCACTGTACTAGCCTCAGACTACAGTCCAGTAGCTTGTCCTCAATTCTGGGGCCAGCCCTTCCGTGTGGGAGACTGCCCCCCCTTCCCCACGCTCATCTTCTTCCCAGGTCCTACCCTAAACATTCATTCAGCAAGCCAGGGCTGGAGGCTGGGACCCCAGAAATGAGTAGGGTCGGACTCACATCGCTTCCTTCGAGCGTGAGTTCACTGGGAGGCAGCGCTGGGCTCTGGTGGAGACTCTGGGGTCAGACAGCTTGAGTCCCACTACTTTCTCCCCAGCGGTCCAGCTCCTGAGCCTCAGTCCCCTCAGCGCTCAGGTAGTTAGCAGTGGCATAAAGGTGACGGTGCGTACAGGAGTCAAGCCCTGAAGGCGGCAGCAGTCATTCTGCTTCATTCACCAAACTCAGGGTTTGCCACGGGTCAGGCTGATGCAGGCGGCTGGAGACAGGGATAAATCCATGTGGTTTGTGAGGCCCAGAAAGGACCAGGAGGCACTTACGTGAAACGCCAGAGCTCCCACCCCCTTGCTCCTTCTCTCCTCACCCTTTCCTGTACACCCTCCTCCCACAAACACACAGGTCTGAATACCCAGGGACAGCAAGTCCAGGGACCACCTCCCACCCCAGGCCCATCTTTGACCCTTGGGGCCACCTCCTAGTGCCCAGCCTGGTACTAGGGGTGGTGGGAAGGGGGTATCAATCAGCATCTCAAAGCCCAGAGGAGCCTCCTTTTGGTGGGCAGCAGGCTCATCTTCCTCCCAACCTGGAGAGGGAGAGCCCACCCCCGGTGAGAGGGGCACTGTGTTTTTCCCATACATCCCAGGACCAGCGGGCCAATAAGAACAAGGGATTTGAGGGGCGGGCTGGAGAAGGTGTTTGTAAAAGGGGGTGGGGCCCAGTGCCTGGTTGGTCTGTTCTAGGTGTGAGGAGGTTCAGAGGGGCTTCTCCTGGCTCTGGAGGTAGGCACATCCTCTGGCTAGGGGAGAGATCAGAGCATCCTCAGGTGTGAGGTGTTGGAGAGCCCCGCCCCCTCCTGGCTAACTGTTTTCCTCTCCTGCCTCACCCTCTGCTGGTTGGGCTGGACCAGTCCCAAGGAAGAGGGGTTCGGGACAGCAGATGGCCAATTTATGCCCTGAGCATACCTGTCCTCTCTCTGAGCAGCTCCCAGCATGGGCAAAGAGAAGACCCACATCAACATTGTGGTCATTGGCCATGTGGATTCAGGCAAGTCCACCACGACGGGGCATCTCATCTACAAATGTGGCGGCATTGACAAGAGGACCATCGACAGGTTTGAGAAGGAGGCCTCAGAGGTGAGGCTGCTCTATCTGAGCCTCCCTGCCCCTCCTTCCTAGCCGTGGTTTCCCGGGGAGGGATACCTCATTGTCGGGGAGGAGACTGCTCACTTCCGCTGAGCACCTGCTGGGCTGGTAGGTGCTTTCCCTCTCAATCATGTCAGGCAGGTGGTGGCTGTCATTTTCCAGGTGAGACAAATGAGGCTCAGAAGGGTTAAACAGCTTGCCTGAGGATGGTGCCAAGGTTTAAATCCCAGTGGGACACAGATGCCATGCCGTATCTCAGGAGCTAAAGCTGCCATTTAAAAGAGGGGAAAGGATTTGTCATGCATCTACCAGGGACCTTAAGGGAGTCCGTGGATACCATGGTAGGTGCAAGCAAGCCTTGCCCCCCAGAAACTCCTGGTCACACACCCTTCTGTCACATAGTAAGCTCGGTAACAGCATGGGTGCTGTAGGATCCCAGGTCACGAACAATGAACATGTCCTAAGAAGCCTTGAAGGATTCCCAAAGGAAGGGATCTCCTCTGAGCCTTGAGGAAATGGGGCAGGTGTCCGTGAGCCACAGGAGATTGAAACAGCAGGTGTAGAGCGCCTGAGATGGAGGGTTGTTGCCTGGTAGGACAGGGGACATAGGCCTTGAGTGCCCTGCTAAAGAGCCTGGTCACTTTCCCTGCAATGACTAAAGGATTTCAGGCATGGGAATGATAGGAATCAGGCAAGATCTTTTTAGGAAGAGCACACTGGCTGCAGCATGGGGAGAACAGCCCAAAGGGCCCAATGCTAGGGGCTAGAAAGCCAGTCGGGAGGTTGTTGCTCTTGACTATGGGAGCAAGGACGGTGGCCTGGGCTCAGGCAGCAGCAGCAGGCATGGAGAGTAATGGGTGGAATCCAGGCACGTGGAGGTGGGGAATCCTCAGAACTTAGGAGTTAGCTGTAGGGAAGGGGGTAAGGGAGGAAGAAGAGTTGAGGGTGGCCCCCAAGTTTCCAGCTTTGGAAATTGGAAGGTCAGGGAATACCAGGGGCAGAGCTGATCTGGAGTCCAAACAGGTCTGCTCTAGATGTGTGAAATTTGAGGTGTCCACAGGGCTTTCTGTGCTCATATCCAGGAGGGCAGCTGAATAGTGAAGTCTGGAGCTCAAGACGGAAGCCCGGATTGGGGACTAAGCCACGGGAGTGAGCTGGAAGGGGTGAGGGACAGAGCCCCAGGATGGGTGAAGCAAGAGCCCAGGCAGGGGAATGAGAAGGGAGAGCCAAGGAGGTGAGTAGAAAACCTGAGACTTGAAGAAGCATCGGACAAGACAGGAATAGTCTGTAGAACCAGCTGCTGCAGAGACAGAAATAGGATGGAGAAGAGAAAGCAACAGGTCGTAGATCAATGCCATCAGCTATTCTCATCTTGGCTTCCTCAGGTATAGTCAGAATTGTTGTGGGGGCACTTATGTGGCAAGGGGTGCCAAGTAAAGCTTTAAAACTATGAGAAAGAAACTGGTCCATAGCCAATACGGTGGAACCATAGCCAAGAAAGTTATGGAAAAACAAATGATCTGATGGGGTGGTTCTCAAACTTTCTGGTCTCAGGAACCCTTTGAATTCTTAAAGGTACCCCGATGAGTTTGTTTATGTAAATTAGATCTATATATTCATGATATTCAAAATTAAAACTGAGGTTTAAAAATGTTTAACTCACTTAAAAATAATAGTAATATACTCCTTATATATTAATGTAAATATCACACTTTTTGTGTGTGAAAAATAACTATTTTCCAAAACAAAGAATCTTGGGAGGGTGACATTTTTGCCGATATCTTTAATGTCTGGCTTAATAGAAGACAGCTGGGTTCTCATCTGCTTCTGCAATCAACCTGTTGCAATTTCACTTGTCATGTAGCCTCTAGAAAGCACCACTGCACAATGATGAGAAAACGAGGGAGGGAAAAGGCAAATAATGTCTTAGCATTATAAAAACAGTTTTGACCATGCAAACTCTAAACGGTATCAGGGTCTCTGGACCACACTTTGATAACTACTTATCTAATGAATATTCTAAACTATAATGGACTTCATAAAATAGAAGTTCCTACAGTAGCAAAAGTTAGGACACCTGGGTTCTATTTCTGTCTTTTAGTAAACTAGTTAGTTTTCTTGAGGAAGCCACCTGGTCTCTGGTCTTTCCTTTTCTTCACTCTGCCCTCTAATTAGAGCTGAAGTGAACATATGCTCAGGACCCCTGAACTGGCAAATGGTAGAGTATACCCTAGACCAGCATGTTAACATGAATATGCTACCGACTTGGTCACCTTTTTACCAGTGCTGAAATCAGCTCAACTTCCCCAGGCTGCCAAGGATAATTATCAGTCATAGATACCATTTAACACAGGGTAGCAGCTAAGAGTTTGAACTTGAGTCTGATGCTTTTTGGTTCAAATCCTGACTCTGCTGTTTATTAATCCTATGATCTCGGGCTAGTCAGTTAATTTCTCTGTTACTTCATCTGCAAGATGAGGATAATACTCCACTAAGTTGTTATGAGATTAAATGAGATAACCCATGTTAAGTGCTTGAAACAGCACCAAGTTCAAGGTCAGCATTACTTACGTGTTCGCTATTACTGATTTGAGGGCTTGCTGACCCTGTGCCAGGTCCACATGCCTGCCCAGGCACTTTGTCATTTGGCCTTGGGTCACTCTGACTCCCAAACCAGCGCTGAAAGAAAAACTTAATTATACAAGTAATAAATTATGTTGTTTGAAAAATTCAAAGGTCTCTCCATACACTGCCCTGTTACCATCCGTCTGACTCTCAACTCCTTTCGGAACTTCCTTCCTGGTTGATGGGCAGCTTTGGATATAGGGGTGACCCTGGGGCTTTCCCTCCTGCTCCCGGCCCAGGTGGGCAAAGGCTCCTTCAAGTATGCCTGGGTGCTGGACAAGCTGAAGGCAGAACGGGAACGGGGCATCACCATTGACATCTCCCTGTGGAAGTTTGAGACCAAAAAATATTACATCACCATCATCGATGCCCCAGGTCACCGTGACTTCATCAAGAACATGATCACAGGGACCTCACAGGTACCACCAGCGTCATCTTGGCTCTGCTTCGGGTGTGGGCAGTGGGTGTCCCAGGCCAAGTCTGAGTTGGGCCTTCTTCCGTCTGTCACTTGGGCCAGGCAGACTGCGCTGTGCTGATTGTGGCCAGTGGTGTAGGTGAGTTTGAGTCTGGCATCTCCAAGAATGGGCAGACCCGTGAGCATGTACTGCTGGCCTATACGCTGGGCGTGAAGCAGCTCATCGTGGCGGTCAATAAGATGGACATCACGGAGCCTCCTTACAGTAGCGCACGCTTTGAGGAGATCAGCAAGGAGGTGAAGGCCTATATCAAGAAGATCGGTTACAACCCTGAGGCTGTTGCCTTTGTGCCCATCTCAGGCTGGCATGGGGACAACATGATAGAACCCAGCACCAAGGTGAGAACTGACCGGGATGGGGGTAATTAAATGCAACATTCCCACTCAAATCTTTGAGCTTCTTCGAGAATGTAATACCCAGGATTTACAGCATGCTTATGGGCCAATCACTGTGAATGATCCCCATTTTACAGATGAACAGAGGTTATTCAAGACTACACAACTAGTAAGCATAGAGTTGCATTGTGCAATGTAGCATTTAGTTACATGTGGTTATTTATTTTGTTTAGATTTTATTTATTTATTTGAAAGAGTGAGAGAGAGAACACAAGCAGGGGAGGGGAGGGGCAGAAGGAGAGGGAGAAGCAGACTCCCCACTGAGCAGGGAGCCCAATGAGGGGCTTGATCCCAGGACCCTGGAATCATGCCCTGAGCCGAAGGCAGACGCTTAACCAACTGAGCCACCCAGACGCCCTGCCTATTAACTTTAATAATTTAAGTCAAATGAAATAATTTCAGTTCCTTAGTTGTATTAGCTACGTTTCAAGTGTCCCACAACCGCATGTGGCTACCATATTGGACAGTGAAGTTACAGAATGTTTCCATCATTGCAGAAAGTTCTGTTGAGCAGTGCCGGCAGAGACTGTAATTCTAGTCCATGCTCACAGCATCTAAGCTACCTCTCTAGGCAGGTTAGGAAGTGTGGGGGCAATATAAATGGGTCTAAGATATAGTCACTGCGCTCATGGATCCCAGAATCTAGCAGGGTTTAAAATTCTTAAATGAGTGTCTCCCTACAAAGGAGGTCTAGTTCTCTGGCATCAGACCTGAGGTCAAGCCCCCGCTTTCTCCCTTGCCCACACTAAAGAGGTAAGAGAGGAATTAATACTCTGGGCATTAGGACTTACTTCATGGGACTGTGAGAATTAAATGAGAGACTCCACAGGGGCATCGGTTCATGCATACAGTTGGTGCTCAAATGCTAACTGCTATCCCTTACACTTTATTGCCTAAAGCCTAACTTTTCCATAACTGACTTGAGGATTCTTAGCCTTTTCTTCCACATGTACATAGCATAATCTTTTTCTGATTATAAAAGTAATACCTAACATTTTTACAATGAGCCTTTCATGCAGATATGAAGCATAAACTTCATGGCTTATAGATAACCTAGTTTTCATGCAGTTCTTTCTAGATATTCACAGCTGGACTCAAACTGTACATAATTTTCTATAAAACTCTTTATTTTTAAAATTTCCTTTGCCATTTAAACATGTTGAATACTTAGTGGGTGTTTTATATCGTAGATCACAGAGGTACATTAGATTGTGTAGCCATATCCATTATTAAGTAAAAATGGTATTGAGAAATTACTATGTGCCAGACACCAGACTAAATACTTTACATGCACAGAACCTCATGAAGAAGACATTTTATTCCCATGTAAAATAAGAAAACTTGGACACAGTGTAGCTAAGTAATAGCCCAAGGTCACCAGCTTCTAAGAATACTGTTTCTAGTTTTATTAAAAATTGCCATAAGCATCTTGCTAAATAAATCCTTGCATGTGTCCTCATTAATTTAATTAGAATAAGCTCCTAGTGAAACAAAGGGTAGGCATTATCTTGGAGTCTTCTGACACATATTGCCCAATTGTCCTTGGGAAAGATTAGAGCTACCACTGGGCAGTGTGTTCCTTTGGCTGGTACTTCAGTATTTGCATGCTGGGCACTGTCCTTGGTGCTGAGGGTGTGGTAGCAAATGATAGGCAACCCTGCTCCTAACACTATGGTCTTCTGGGGGTAGTGGTAATATAGTGGATGATGACAAGTGCTAAGAAAAACATAAGGCTGAGGGAGGCATGGTATGAGAGTGTTATTCTATATTGGGTGGTGAAGGGGGTCTCTTCTAAAATGACAGTAGAACAGGGCGCCTGGGTGACTCAGTTGGTTAAGCGACTGCCTTCGGCTCAGGTCATGATCCTGGAGTCCCGGGATCAAGTCCCACATCGGGCTCCCTGCTCGGCAGGGAGTCTGCTTCTCCCTCTGACCCTCTTCCCTCTCGTGCTCTCTCTCTCTCATTCTCTCTCTCTCTCGAATAAATAAATAAAATCTTTTAAAAAAAATGACAGTAGAACAGAAACCTGAAGCTTTGCCCATTTCCCCATTTCCCAAGTATTACCACAGAGTTCAGCTAGTGAAATAAGGGGATTTCATTCTCCTGTCCCTTTGGTTATTTATTAGGCATCTAAGATGTTCTAAAATATTTTATTCATTTGACAGAGAGAGAGAGAGCATGCACGCACACAAGTAGGCAGAGGGGCAGGCAGAAGGAGAGGGAGAAGCAGGTTCCCTGATGAGCAGGGAGCCCAATGTGGGGCTTGATCCCTGGACCCTGGGATCATGACCTAAGCCAAAGGCAGATGCTTAACAGACTGAGCCACCCAGGTGCCCCATATCTAGTATGTTCTAGATGCTAAAAGAACAAAGCATGCACTCAGTGGACTAGATAGATTTAGGGTTTAGCCTTTGCTCTCAAGAAATACCTGTGACATCGGAGACCTCAGTTTCCCCATTTTTAAGATGGGGATGATACTGATCTCACAGGCTTATTCAGGCCTCTGAGTTGGCACAGAGACAAATTAGTTGCTAAGTTCATCAAACTAATAGAAGAGCTTATCTTTACCAATGAGACTGGTGTTTGAGTGGGAAGTTGGCCCACAGAAAGGAGCCAACTGGAATTCCAGTTAACTGATACATCTCTGAAGGCAAAGATGATGTCTTTGATGAGCTTTGGCTAAGGTTTTTAGAGAAGTAAATACAGTATCTACTTAAAAGGCATGCATACAGGGGCGCCTGGGTGGCTCAGTCATTAAGCGTCTGCCTTCGGCTCAGGTCATGGTCCCGGGGTCCTGGGATCGAGCCCTGCATCGGGCTCCCTGCTCGGTGGGAAGCCTGCTTCTCCCTCTCCCTCTCCCTCTCCCTCTCCCCCTGCTTGTGTTCCCTGTCTTGCTGTCTCTATCTCTCTCTCTCTCTCTCCCTCTGTCAAATAAATAAATAAAATCTTAAAAAAAAAAAGGCATGTATACAATGCACTGTCATCCTTAAGGTTATCCTTCTAGAAAGCCTTATGCTCAATAATGCTGCCCTTCCTTGCCTAAGATGTTGGGGAACATCTAGTTTTTAGGAAGGTATAAGTGTTAGAGTATTTGAGTCTTGTTTTCATTCTCATTCCTGATGCTTACTTAACTGTGCCACATGTTTTCTCTGCTCCTCCTGTGTAATGAGCAGATGGAATAAGACCTAAGAGCTAATCAGATTCAAGGAATCTCTGCCTCCTAAAAATATTGGCTCAAGTGAGGGGCAACACCTACAAGATTTAGAGAAATGGCCACCATTTAGTGGGTGTGTAGTACATGTCAAACATTGTGTTTGGTGGACTGTGTGAGGTCTTTTGTGTCTTTACTTGAGCCTGCAAAGTAGGTGGTGATATCTGTTTTATAGATGAGGAAGCTGAGGCTCAGAATGCATTAAAAAATTGCTTGAGGTGCCATGTTAAATCCAGGTTGGCACCTGGGACAGGCTCCCTTGAGCCTAAGCAAGCTGCACATTTGGTGGCTTTTCCAGATGTCCTGGTTTAAAGGCTGGAAGATCACCAGAAAGGAAGGAAACATGGTGGGCATGACACTGCTAGAAGCACTGGACTCCATCATGCCCCCTGCCCGCCCTACGGAGAAGCCCCTGCGGCTGCCTCTGCAGGATGTATACAAGATTGGGGGTGAGCATGTGCTATGTGGGGGTGCTTGGGGTCAGGGGCTCACTGAAGGCTGGCTGCTGACCACTCTGTTTGCTCTGTCCCCCCAGGCATCGGCACCGTGCCTGTGGGCCGGGTGGAAACAGGCTTCCTCAAGCCAGGCATGGTGGTGACCTTTGCCCCCTGCAACATCACCACAGAGGTCAAGTCTGTAGAGATGCACCACGAAGCCCTGGCTGAGGCCTTGCCTGGAGACAATGTGGGCTTCAATGTGAAGAATGTGTCGGTGAAGGACATCAGGAGGGGCTACGTGGCGGGAGACAGCAAGAATGACCCGCCCTTAGAAGTGGCAAGCTTCGTCTCCCAGGTGAGGAGGCCCATTTAAGGGAAGTCTTCTGAGACAGCCATACTGTCCTACAAGCAGAATGGTTCACAGGGTCATTCAGGAAGTGGGCACTGAGCATGTGCTCTATGCTGGGCTCTTGACCAGCAGTGTAGGTAGAGTCAGACTGTCCGGGTTAGAATCCTGACTGTACCTTATTTGCTACTTTGCCCTTGAACAAAACAACACAGTTCAATGGTCTTCTTAGTTTCCACAGTATGGTCTTAAAGCAGTTGTTTTCAAACCCGGTGGATTAGAATCACCTGGGAAGCATTTTAAAAATGCAGATTCCTGGGGCGCCTGGGTGGCTCAGATGGTTAAGCCTCTGCCTTCAGCTCAGGTCATGATCCCAGGATCCTGGGATCGAGTCCCACACCCGGCTCCCTGCTCAGCAGAGAGCCTGCTTCTCCCTCTCCCTCTGCACCTCCCCCTGCTCATGCTCTCTCTCTCTCTCTCTCTCTGTCTCAAATGAATAAATAAAAAAAATCTTAGAAAAAAATGCAGATTCCTAACATTTTTCCCAGTGGTTCTGCGGAATGATTCAGTAGACATGGGTGGAAGCTGGGAATCTGTATGTTAGAGCTCTCAGGTGTTTCTTCGGCCCAGAGTTAGACTGTGGAGGCTGTTCTGAATGCAACGTCTGGCACATTCTTACTTCTGCAGGTGGAGGCTTGCACTACGTCGCAGTGAGCTTGGGAGCATTACACGAGGTGATGATATGTAAAACAGCTGACCTGGGGCCAACAGGTCATCTAACAAGTTAGTTAGCTGCTATTGTAATGCATTTTTCTAAGTGGCAGGGAAAAGTAGTACATAAATAACATGTATGTGTGTAGGTTTTAGTATCACTCATCCCTAGCTCTGCCACTTCCCTGCTATTTCATCATGGGTAAATTATCCAGGCTCTCTGCTATGAAAATGAAATTGGAATGCATGAGATATGCTTAGCACAGAACTTGGTATACTCTATAAATGTTCAAATGCTCACTATAATTTAAAGTGTGTCCAAGGTGGGATGCCTGGGTGGCTCAGTCGGTTGAGCATCTGCCTTCAGCTCAGGCCATGATCCCAGGGTCCTGGGATTGAGTCCCGAGTCAGGCTCCCTGCTCAGCAAGGAGCCTGATTCTCCCTCTGCCTGCCACTTCCCCTGCTTATGCGCTCGCTCTCTCTCTCTCTGACAAATAAATAAGATATAAACAAGTAAGTAAGTAAGTGTGTCCAAGGTGCTTGACCCCTTAGTTGGTTAGGGCTACCTCCTCTGGAGGATGCTAGGCTAATGCCTTCCCCTGCTCCCATCCCACCCTGGGTTCCAGGTAATCATTCTCAACCACCCTGGCAGCATTGCCACTGGCTACTCACCAGTCCTGGACTGCCACACGGCCCACATTGCCTGCAAGTTTGCAGACCTCAGGGAGAAGATTGACCGGCGCTCAGGCAAGAAGCTGGAAGACAATCCCAAAGCCCTGAAGTCTGGGGACTCAGCCATCGTTCAGATGATTCCACGAAAGCCCCTGTGTGTGGAAAGCTTCTCAGAGTACCCGCCCCTCGGTGAGTCCCGATAGCACTTGGCTCCTGGAGCTGCCCCTTCCTCCTCCTGGCTCCAGGGAGCCAGTGTTCCAACGGGTCACACCCAAACCAGATTGCAGAACCTGGTCAGAAGGACTGGAGTTCCAGGTTAGAAGGGCCCCCAAAAAGGAAAGTAGCTTGCCTAGTGTCACACAGCAAGGCAGGGCCATTTTAGAGCCTTGTTACTCAAAGTGTGGTCCATGGACCAGCAGCATGGGCATCCCCTGGGAAGTGGTTAGAAGTGGAGAACCTCAGGCTCCATCCAGACCTGCTGAACTCAAATCTTCAGTTTAACAAGATCCACAGGTAATCGGGATGCACATCAATTTGAGAAACCCTGATTTAGAGGAGGTGAATAAACCAGAGATTAGCAGGGATTTTCTTTTTCCTTCTTATTCTTCAGTGCAGTGGTTTTCAAACCTGGTGGATAATCAGAACCACTGATGGACCCTATTAAACCCAGAGGCTCAGACCCTGATAGATTCACCTGATCAAGGCTGCAGCCTAGGAGTCTGTTTCTTAGATTTCCCCAAGTATATTCTGCGCGGCTAGGTTTGAACAATTAACCTAGAAGTTCTGACCTCAAATATATAGGGAGTAGGCATTTTTATATAGTGCTTGCTCTGTGCTAGATGATAGATATTTATAAACAAACAGGTTCTTGCCCTCAGCGCCTCCCAGTTAATGGGGAGGAGGGTGAATTTCAAAAGGCTAGTTTTATTTATTTTTTTATTATGTTATGTTAATCACCATACATTACATCTTTAGTTTTTGATGTAGTGTTCCATGATTCATTGTTTGCGTATAACACCCAGTGCTCCATTCCTCCATTCAGTACGTGCCCTCTTTAATACCCATCACCAGGCTAACCCATCCCCCCCACCCTCAAAAGGCTAATTTTAGAGGTGGGCCACAGATGTTGCCACATGAATCTTGCAAAGCTGGTTTAGTTCTTTCTACCTCTGCCAAAAATACTGTGAGTTTGAAGCCAGATGCCAAAGCCTTGCCCTCCACAATTTGAAGTCAGAGGAGCATTCAAGAGCCCCCAGGAGAAGCAATTGCCGGATGCACAGTTGAATGTAAATGAGATCTATCCTACGGGTTGTTGTGATGGGCACAGAGAAGGTGCTAATTGCTTGGAGGCTGGGAGCATTAGTATGTATGGTAGGGTGGTGGGTGCACCAAAAACAAACTTTTCGGGCGCCTGGGTGGCTCAGTTGGTTAAGCGACTGCCTTCGGCTCAGGTCATGATCCTGGAGTCCCGGGTTCGAGTCCCACATCGGGCTCCCTGCTCAGCAGGGAGTCTGCTTCTCCCTCTGACCCTCTTCCCTCTCGTGCTTTCTATCTCTCATTCTCTCTCTCTCTCAAATAAATAAATAAAATCTTTAAAAAAAAAAACAACAAAGTTTTCCCTGTGACCTTTACTTATGGAAGTAGGACAGTCCAGTGGCTAAGAATATAAGTGCTAGTGTGAGGCTTTCTGGGTTTTCAACCATCACAGCAAAGTGACCTTCTACTTCTTTGCCCCAGTTTCCCCAACTGTAAAATAGAGTGAGATCTACTTTGGGTTGTTGAGATAATTAAATGCACTCCTATGTATAATTCAGAATATCACTTATTTGACCTCCCGTGCCAGTGTCCTATAGCTTGTGCCCTGTGGTAGCATTCTCCACCTGTTTCTTCATGTCCTGTGTCCTAGGTCGCTTTGCTGTGCGTGACATGAGGCAGACGGTGGCTGTTGGGGTCATCAAGGCTGTGGAGAAAAAAACAGCGACTGGTGGCAAAGTCACCAAGTCTGCCATGAAAGCGGCCAGGAAGTGAGTGGTGACAGCTACTCTAGGACTTTCTGGGAGAGGCGCAGCCCAGGAGGAGCCACAGCTGGAAAAGAATGGCTCAAGGAGAAGTCTTAGACTTACTCTTCTCTTGCCTGAATGGTCTTAAATCCACCCCTGCTAATGCACTTTTCTTTTTGCTGATGAGTCTGAGGCATGGGAATAAAGCACAGCAAGTCTTTTTGCCTCTGCCTCTACTGACCTTGATGTTGCAAGCAAGGAGGAAGCAGGTGGGGTGCTCAGTCTAATTCTACCCCTCACCTTCCTTCTGGTGCCTGACTGGTGCAAGAACCAGAGAGCTAGGGTCACAGGGAGGAAAATGTGTAAAGGGGAAAGTGTAGGGCAGCTTTTGGCCCAGGCCAAGTTCATCAGTTCCTAGAACAGGACTCTGGTGTTTTAAAATGCCTGACTTAAATAGTGTCTATAAAAGTTACTGAATCTTCTGTGTGCCTTGTTCATCTGTAAAATGGGAAGATAATAGTATCTGCCTCCAGTGGGATGTTGAAGTTTGAGTGAGCTGGTACCTGCTGGGCATGGTAATCAGCTACTCTCATTCACATGGTGGGGGCACTGGAGGCAAGTGAGCCCTATTAAGGGGACGTTCTGTTGGAAAAAACTTGAGGAGAAGGGAATGAGCCTGAGGTTTGTAGGATAAGCTGTTTTATATTTCCTAGGTACATGTTTCCCTCAGGTTACTTTTTAAACTTCAGTTTGACAATTTGAGTCACAAAGTTGCAAGAGGCAATTTCACCCAGATTCCCCAAATCTTATTTACCATTTTTTACCTGAATTATTTGAGAGTAAGCTGCAGACATGGTGGCCCTTTACAATGAATAGTGTAAGTCCAAGAATATTCTCTGATAAAATCAAGGTCAAGTAATCAGAATGAGGACATTAAATTAACACGGGTACACTTCTGAAATCTGCAGACCTGATTCAGATTTTGCCAATTATTCCAAAAACATGCTTTATAGCAAAAGAAAATCCAGGATCATGTGTTGCATTCAGCAGTCTTGTCTCTTTATTGCAAGTTTTGGAGCAGCCCCTCCCTTGGCTCTGTTCCTCCCAGAGGTTTGGTTGAGACATCTGCTCTGGGCTAGCTAGTGGCTGCCTGATGGAGGAAGCTCAGAGGTGCGGGTTGGGAGGAAGGGGTGTCTCTTTGCTCTCCTCAATCAGCCCAGCTTTCCAGAAGTCCCTTGCATCCCTACTAGATGAAACCAGGAAAGCCGGGGGGCTTTTACCTCCCCTGTAGCAGCGGGAGAAGGGAATTACGGCAGCAGAGGTGAGAGGCCTGTCTCCTTTTCCACCCCAGCCCTCTGCCCATTTATTCCTGTTAAAGAAACGGCAGATTCAAGACCAAGTTCTGCCTGGGATGTGGATCCTGGCAGCCCCTCGGGTCCTGCTGCTGAGGATTAGTGTAAACCAGGAAGCCCTCTTCTTGTTTGCGATTGGAGCCTGTCAGAGACTAATCTGCAAGCCTTTTTGTGCATGCAGGATGACTCTGTTGATATACACCATGTCTAACACTTTTTTTTTTGCGGGGGCGGGTAAAGGGTTGCTTGGATACAGTGGGTTTATATTAAGAATAACCCCTTATTGCGAGCTTAACTGTGTGCTCTACACAATTACCTCGTTTAATTTTCACAACGATCTCCTATGATATCGGTACCCATTTTAAAGCTGAGGAAAACTGAGGCTGAAAGAGGTCTAATTAGTAACCCGCTGTGGGTCGCGTGTCTATCAGCTAGCCAAGACAGGAGCATACTGTCTCCACAGCTCAGGACTCTTAAGTCATCACTGTTCTAACTGTTTAAATTCCATTTGTTTACATTGTCACCGAATAAATTATATACACTACAGTTTGCATAATTGATTTCACGTAGTCCTGGAAGCCACCAGGTCCGGAGACTGTGGGAGGGAAGAGCGCCCACAGAGACCGGCAGTTCAAGGAAAAGCCGGGTCAGGGAGCTTTAAAAAAGCCAATTTCGGAACCCCGGGGTCCCGGTGGTGGGAGAGCGCGGCTCGCACTGGTGGGCGCTACGCCGCGCCGCCCCCGCCCCTTTTCCTCTGCCGCAGCTCTCTGGGTATCCTGCGGAAAGAGCCCGCCTCCCGACCCATAAGGCCCTGGGCCGGAAGCTTCACTTTCTCTTCCTGTTCTCCACCATGGCGGTGAGTAGCTGAGGCCCGGGTTTGCTTCCCTTCATCCGCCTTCATCCACGGCGGGCCGAGGCCGCGGGAGCTGTCTCGTCCGCGGCTCGAGAAGAGGGGAGCCCGCAAGGCTGGTCCTGCAGAAACTGGCAGAGCCATGCGGGCCGAGAGCGCAGAGCTGAACCTTGTCGCCTCCCCTCCCGCCCTCTTAGAGGAGATGGCTCGGGGCAGCCACTGGGAGGGCTCAAAATCGCGGCCCGTAGGCTGCAGGGAGGGCGAGTGGAGCGAACGGAGGGGCTGGCACACGGTGTCCGGATCTGTTACCTGTCCCGGGGACTTGAGACTTGCCGGGGGCTAGGGAGCTTCAGCCTGTTCCTCCGCTCGGGGGAAGGCGCTAGCCTTCTGTCGCGGCCACCCGGCTCCTTCGGAATGGAATGGGGGACGTCGCACAACCATGTGATTCCCGTTTCCCCAGCCGTTTAAATTCTGGTTTCTCCCCAGTCGGCTTTATAGAGCGGACGCGCTCCGACACCTTACACGCCGAGCCCGTTGGGGTTCACCCTCTGCGTGTAACTTTAACTCCCGATACCTGTTCTCAGTTTCTGATCGCCCATTCGGTGCGTGGAGGAGGAAACCAGATCCCGAGCTGTCTTCTGCCTTGGTGCCTCCCACACAAACGCCGTGATACTTTTTAAACCCTTTAGGGCTTTCGTTAGGAGCCAGGATGAGCAGAAATAGGTATGCTGTGTATACAAACGCTGGACTCGGGGCTGTGGCGGGGTTGTGTGTTGACTGCTGCGCTTACCTTGTTGCAGCAGGATCAAGGGGAGAAGGAGAACCCCATGCGGGAACTTCGCATCCGCAAGCTTTGCCTCAACATCTGTGTGGGGGAGAGTGGAGACAGACTGACCCGGGCAGCCAAGGTGCTGGAGCAGCTCACAGGCCAGACGCCCGTGTTCTCCAAAGGTGAGTGGTGGTAGTCGGGGGAGAGCACCGGCGGCTGCGTATGGCTGCATTTTTCCTAATTTACCTGGCGCCTAGCCTGTTCAGTGCCCGTTTTGAAAGTGACAGTTGGTGTCCCTTAAAAGCATTACTTTCCTGAGCTACCCAAGAAGTATCTTCCTTTCAAGATTGGGTTTGGTTTTGGAATACCGGGTTTTGTTTTTTTTTTAAGTTAGCAGAAATTAAGCTAGGACTAGTCCCAAGTAGAGATTTTCCGAGGAAAGTTAGAAATGTTGTTGGGAATGCAGTAAATGGTATTTGGCTTGATTCACATTTGGAATTTATAGGCTACGTTAAGAACAGAGCTGTGTGCCTAGACCACCTGGGTTCAGATCCTGGCTCCATTGTTTGCTAGTCTGACTTCGGCCTTTCTGGGTCTCAGCTTCGTTATTTATCTAAAGGGGATGATAATAAGATTGTGAAGGATCAAATGGTTTCTATGAAGTGCCTGCTATATACCAAGCTCAGTGTAGACGTTACCATTGTTTTGTTGCTTTTTTTTGGTTTGTTTTTGAAGTTCCATTGCTTTAGGATAGTGGAATATGGCAAGTTCTTGGGTTCAGATCCTGCCTTTTATTACCAACTGTGATTTGGGACAAGTTAACTTCCCAGAACTTCATCTGTAATAGGATAACATTACAGTAACGCTTTAGAGAATCTTAGCTATTTTCAATAACGTTTTCTTTAGAACACAGTGATCCTATTTCTTTCTAGTGGCCTATTCTGGCTGTGAACTTGGCCCATCCTGAGACTTAGACATTATGACTTCGAGCACTTTTTTTTTTTTTTAAGATTTTATTTATTTATTTGACAGCACAAGCAGGGGGAATGCAGGGAGAGGGAGAAGCAGTCTCCCCTGCTGAGCGGGGAGCCTGATGCAGGGCTCCAGGGCTCAATCCCAGGACCCTGAGATCATGACCTGAGCCAAAGGCGGACACTGAACTGACTGAGCCACCCAAGCGTCCCACTTCAAGCTCTTAATTGCTTAAGTATGACTGAGGACTTGGAAGTTGAAAAATATGTTTTTTGTGTTATGGATGAAACCAGATGTAGGTGACACTGGTTAGAACGCCACCGCTTGGGATGTGGGTAGATATTTAATGTCTCTTAAGAGTTATGGAGATGATCTGGGTAAGAGGTGAGTGCAGTGGGAGTGTGATACCTGACTCCTTGTTTCCCCCTTCCTGCAGCTAGATACACGGTTAGATCCTTTGGCATCAGGAGAAATGAAAAGATTGCTGTCCACTGCACAGTCCGTGGGGCCAAGGCAGAAGAAATCCTGGAAAAAGGTCTAAAGGTGAGGCTGATCCCCTCATGGGATGTTAATAAAGAATGCCACCTTAACACAGTAGATAACAGTGGTGGTGGTTACACTTCATGTACTATCTTTGGTGCCTCGGCTTTTTAATTTTTATTTTTTAATCTCTAAAGGGTGTTTCCTGCACTCAGCAAGGTTTAAACCATTCTTAATGATTTCTCTGGGTTCTTCCATGTCTTTTAAATGTTGGGAAAATTCTATGAAATTCATCGTTGGGATGTGATTTGGTGTTGTGGGGAAATGATGAGATTTTGTTCATGATCAAGTTATATTGAATTGCATCTCTGGGATGCTGAGTGTTGAGGACTAAGCTAGGGATTCCCGGGGGGATTTCAGTTGACAAGGAGTGTGATTTTGCTGCATTTTTCTCTAGGTGCGAGAGTATGAGTTAAGAAAAAATAACTTCTCTGATACTGGAAACTTTGGCTTTGGGATCCAGGAGCACATCGATCTGGGGATCAAATATGACCCTAGCATTGGTATCTACGGCCTGGACTTCTATGTGGTATGAATATTCGATCTTTTCTACTCTTGGTTTGTGAGGAGAGTGGAATCTGCTACTCCTTTATTTTGTGTGTGCTATCTTGATGTTCAGGTGTTTGATTAAAGCTTTGAGTGTTGTCTGCCTTTGTGTTTTGCCCCTTGGGAAGATGTGCCTCGTTTGTGGCAGGGGTCAGGATACAGCACTGAACTAGATGGACAAGATCCTGCTAT